TGTCTCGGCCCCCACCCGAACTCTGGCCCCGCCCCCCACTGAGCGGTCCCTGAGCCACGCCTGCTCCCATCTTCAGCCCCCCTTCCTCCCCAGGGGCCTGAAAGTCGCCCTCCCTCCCGCCCCACGCCATCGGCGCGCGGGTCCCACCGGTTTTGGCCCAGCGCTCCCCCTCCCACTTCATCCCGCCTCTTCTGGTCCTCCAGCGCGCGAAGCCTCGGCCCCAGGCTTTGCTAGAGGGAAGACGGAGAAAAAGCCGCAAGGCACAGCGTCCCTGGACCTTACCCTGGCTCAGCTGTCCCCCTCGAGCGGGACCGAGCTGAGGTTCTTTGGGGACACCCGGGGGCCTCAATAGGGAGTTCCCGCGTGGGGAGGCTGGGAGAAATGTGTCCCCGTGGGAAAGGGGACGGGGGCTTGCGCGGGTCCCGTATGCGGGGCAGGACAGATTCCCAGGAGGAGAGCGGTAAGGAGGCTCCCCCCGACTCGCTGACATCCCCCCCGACACCGAAAAATCCGCTCAGCGGCCCGCGGGTGGGGTGCGCCACGCAGTGACTAATCTCTCGGGCGGCCGCCGCCCGCCGACTCCAGGTAACGCCGGCTGCCTCGAGCGACGCATAGTTTGTCTTCCTTTTTTTGCGTAGGGATCCTTCTCCTTGTTATTATTTTTGGCCACTGCTTGGGTTTCGGGACCCCTCCAGACCCGGGCGCCTCACCCCGCTCCTCTTGGTCCCCACCCGATTCGGGCGCTCACGATAAAAGGGCTCCTGACCTCCAAGGCCCCGGTGGAGGGGGAGCCTGAAATGAGAGTTCCGGGGCCGCCTTCAGCCCGGCTTGTTAGAGTCGCAGCCCTGCCCCCAGCCGCGTGCCCTCAGAGGGGAAGGGCTCTAACTCCCCTTTCCAGGGGTTCCCTTAGAGACCTGGACCCTCCGCCTTGGTCCCTAACCAGCCAAGGGGGTAAAAGTGTCTGAGGAGGGCTCAGGAGTTCCCATCTCGTTTGCTCACGGCTGCCCTCCACCCCTGCTACTTGGGTCCCCAACTCAGACCTCAGACTGTCAGAAAAGAGGATTAAAGCATGGAGTCCGGGGTGCACCCCTCTAGTCCCCCATTCTGGACTCTGGATGGGTTTGTGAAGGAGAGAGTAAGGCCCTGGCATACTGCACTGTCGTTTACTGGGGCACACCAGGCCTCTCTGCCTCAGTTTCCTCCTCAGCACAGTGGGTGACTCCTAGCCAGCCTAAGGGTTTCTGTGGGAAGTTGCAACGTAGCAGAAGGCTCCACGGTCTAAACACTTAGCATAGTGTCTGGCACCGGGGGCACATTCTTTTGGAGCCTCTGTTTGTCACCTCTGAAAAATGGGGCCATAGTCCCACCTGCCAGGTGGTCCAGAGAGTTAAGTGGAGGTGGCAGTTCTTGGCTGGAATTGTGTTTCCAGGATATATGCCACCTCTCCCCCACAACCTCTGTCCTGCAACGTTTGACTCCCTCCTGGAGGACTTCAGGCTTCTGGAGCAAAATCTTGATTATTTTCCTCCCCAGTCTCTGCTCCTCCCCAGTCATTCCCCAGTCTCGGGAAAAGGCTCCCCCATCCACCCAGATGCTCGGGCCAGAGACCTGGAGGTGCGCGTGACAACTCTCTCCTTCGCTCATCCCCTACGTCCAATCCATCAGCAAATCCTGTTGGCTGATTACAAAACACATCCCCGTTCTGAGATTCGGACCCTTTTCCTCCACCCCATCCGGCTCCAGGCCTCACCATCTCCATCTGGGATGCCGCCCAGCCTTCTCCTAGGCTTTCTGGGTAAATCCTCTCGCCCTCGTCTGTACAGCAGGCAGAAGGAGCTTTTAAAAGAAGCAAAGCAGGTCTTTTTTGCCCTGCCACTCTCTCCCCCCTCCTTTTCTCCTCTCTTCTCATCCTCTTTCTTCCTCTCCCTCACTCCACTCCAGCTACTGCACCCCCGTTTCTCCCAAACACATAGGCTTGTTTATTATCACGGGGTCTTTGTACATTTGCTTTTCCCCCTGCAGGGATGCAGTTCCCCCAAATCTTCCCCCAGTTAGCACCTTCTCTTCCGTCAGGTCACAGGTCAAGTATTCTCAGAGGGATCCCCCAACCTTCCCAGGCACCCTCCATCCCTTTCCCCTTTTTAAATTATCTTTGTAACACAGTTCTTCGAACATCATCTTTCTCTTGAGATATTTTCTTTAGACTGTGAGCACCCTGAGAGCCATGAGGACCCCATGCTGGGCCCAGTGAGGGCCACAGGAGAAGAGCTCAGTGAACATTTGCAAAATGAAAGGATGGAGAATTCTCAGTGCCTCAGAGTAGCAAGAAAGTTCAGTCCCAGTGAATCATGCTGTCTGGGGTCCCAGCCAGACCCTGGACTTGCTGTGTGACCCAACCTGGTAGCCACCCCTCTCTGATCCTTACCTGTAGAAGGGTATGGGTTGTTCACCCAGCCCCTCCTTGGAGCATACCCTCTGCCCTCTGGGTGACCTTTACCTCAAACCTTTGACTTTAAGGAAAGTGATTTGGCCTCTAGGTGCACCCTTCCCAGCCCTTGGTTCTCCAGGTGGCTTAACCCCTTCCTCATCAGTCCCATCACCTCTTTGTGCAGGAAGGGGAATGAGCGTTGATGGAACTTCTGGCAAATATTGACCCAAGTCCTTGAAGGTGGCTGGGAATGTACTGAGGTGGCAGATGGAGGGAGGGCCCCACATGGGGGAGGGGCTCCTCAGTCTTTGCACCTAAGGATTACCTTGGGGGAGAGCCTCCAGCCCAGCTCCCTGCATAATTCCAGGGCACTGAGGGGGCCCCAGGGAGAGGCAGTGGTAACAGCCCCTTCAGGGTCCCATTGGGAGTGAGGAGAGCACAGAGCTGCCTCTCCCATGTTGAGACCCCTCAGTATGGGATTAGCTGCCTTGTGTTCCAGGCCAGTGTGCCCAGGAAGCAGGGACAGTGAGGGTCTCGCCTGGACGTGGGCTTGGGACAGCAGAACCTAGGTTCAGGACATGTGTGCAAGAGAAGGCGGGGCTTTATCATTTCCATCCTGGCGGTTCAG